ACAGAAAGATTTAGGAGTGAGAAGTGGGGAAGGGTTTAACCCATCCTCCTGTTAAACAAGGACTTTGAACAGTCCTGGAGAGGAGGGCCAGGAAGAAACCCATGACTGCATTCAAGTGATAGATCTCCAGACCTGGGCTAAGGAAAATTTCTCCCTGGCCTAAGGGAGAAAATGTGTTAATGAATGAGCCTTCATGGGTAGTAGAAGGGAAGTGAGTTACAGGAGACGCTATTATTAAGGGAAGGGAATTAGAAGAAAGGAGGATGTTGCTGCCCACACAGTCAGCTCAGACTGTGGAGCTGTATGTGCTGGTAAGAGCCTGTGAATTAACATTCTTACTGATTCTAAGCTTGCATGTGGAGTGGTACACACGTTTAGAAATCTGTGGGAGGAAAGAAGTTTATTAACCTGCAGGGGAAAAAACATTAGCACATGAGAGCTTACTTACTCCTCTCTTGGAGGTGGTGAATTTATCAAAAAGGCAGGGTACTCGGAGGAGGCAATAGGCAATAGACTGGCGGATGAAGAAACTCAGAAAGGAATACTTTTGCCAGAACTCTCGAAGACCCTCCCTTTGCTCCCAGTGACTCAGTCACTGTCAGAGAAACTGTCTTTTCCACCAGAGGAGCTGGAGATAACTAGAAAGAGTGGGGCAAAGAAAAAAAGGGGATAATTGGTTGACAAGGGATGGCAAACAATGGAGACCAGAAGCTTTGGCCATACAAGTATTAAAACAACTCCATGAAGGGAGTCATTGGAATTCTCAAGGATTGGCAGAAGCCTTCCTCAAGATGTATTTTGCTGTGGGTCTTTTTAGTCTGGCAAAAGCAGATGTTGAAGTTTGCTTGATTTGTGCTTCAGCTAATAACAGGTTTACAAAGAAAGCTGACAGGGGAGAGAGGCCTTTGGCTCTATGTCCCTTCTAAAGATGCCAAGTGGATTTTACCGAGATATCCCAAGTGGGAAGGCTTAAATATCTTCTGGCAATAGTATATCAGTTAACAAGGTGTCCAGAAGTATTCCCAACTGCTTCAGCAGCTACAGCATCACCTATTAAGGTATTTTTGGAACAAACTATTCCAAGATACAGGATTGTAGAAGCAACAGACTCAAAAGAGCTCATTTTACAGAAAAGATCCTTCAAGGGGTTATGGCTACTTTAGGAAAACTTTAGGAAAACATACCCCCTGGCACTGCCAGAGCTTGTGTCAGGTGGAAAAAAAAATTGAGAGAAATAAAGAAACACCTTTTGAAGCTGGTAATAGACACCAAGATGCCATGGGTAGGGCTTTTGCCATTGGCTTTGGCAAGAATGAAGGCCAGACCCAGAAGAGAGAATCAGTTCTCTTCCTTTGAACTATTGTTTGGAATTCTTCACCAGGGTAATTCTCAACCTAGTGGGGTGTAGAGATAAGTGATATATATTTAAAACAATATGAGGCAAGGATACTGTCTCTTGTGAAATCCCTTCAACAGGAAGCTCAGCTGGCACAGCCCCTGCCTTTGGACTTTGGCAGTTCATAACATCCAACCAGGGGATTTAGTCCTGCTTAAGGACTGGAAAGATGCACCACTGGTGGAGAAGTGGTGTGGAACTTTCCAAGTGTTACTGACCACAGAAACAGCCATCAAGACAGCTGAACACAGGTGGACCCATTACACTCAGGTCAAGGTCTCTAAGGCCCCAGAGATTTGGACATCTCAGCTGGAAAAGAAGGACAGCAGGCTCCGACTGACACTCCGCAGGAGTGGTCTGGAGCAGCAGCCAGTGCGTTGACATCAGGGCAAGCCACGTGTACCTAGCCACAGATTGCTGAAATAGTCTGTATGGGCATCTCTCCTTTAGAATCTTCACTCACTGGGGGGCTACTGCTTGCTGTCATTGTTTTCTTTATCTTAGGTAGCTTCTGTGCATTCACTGGCCACAGGTGGTGAGGAAGACAAGGTGAAAATTAGACTAGGTCTTTAGAATACACTATTAGAATATTTTCCTTACTAATTCTACCTTTATATTGTCAGCTCAGTTTAGGCCAGTAATGGAAGAATCCATTTCCAGCCTTAGGAGAAGAAGCAGCCAGAGTTTTTAACCTTAGCTACTATTGATCCTGCGGAGGGACAGAAGGATCTGAAGAATGGCCATGGGTGACTAGCTCAGTTGAATCAAAATGGTGGGTCAATACTCTAAGTGAGGTCCATAATGGGACAGGATTTGGGGACAAAGAAGGAAGTCCATGGTGACTTCATTCTTCTGAATCAGGCACTTATTGCCTAAATAGGACAGGGGGTTTCTATGTAGGAAAAGCATTTGTGATTTAACTTTATCTTTCGGTTTAAACAACTGGGTCTAGACTCCCAATTACCCTGCTTGCAGTTGTTCCAAGCATCAAGCAAATGCAATCAAATGCCTGTGAAGCTCACTAGTGGTAGCTGGCTGAGACGTTCTTAGCATAATTACCAAAAAGATTTTGAAGGCTGTAAAGCAGTGGGGAGGGACAAGGGGGTTTTTTTACCACCTATTTTTAAGCTGCCTCCAAGAAAGTTCCACAAGTAGAACACATGTTGTTTGTGATTATCAGTGCAAATGTCAACACCAGAATGGAACTTGAGCCCTTTTAAGTGAGTTCTCCAAATCCAAGCAAACAGGTTGCAGACGTATATGTAGCTGGGAATCCTGCATGGGAGCTTGGAATAAAAATATTGTAACTCTTAGGGTGGGGTAACTACTGTTGGAGGACTGCTAGGGCCAGAAAACGAGCTGTCTTTTGACCCACCAATTGATGACAAAGGGTAGGAAGGCCCCTTTGCCAACAGAACATGGGCTTTGAAAAGACATCATTGGCATTGCAGCCAACACGAGTATCGCAGGTTGCCTCCAAACTGCTCTGGGATTTTATATGGGGCATACTAGATCTACCACAAGTTCAGGGTAAATCACTTGGGAATCAAAATCTATGATGATTTAATTAGAGAAAGCAATCAATTGATGCAGCCCTGGCTGGAGGGAGAACCCCAAAATGGGGAAAAGATGAATGGCCACCAGAAAAATGATACCACACTATGGACCAGCCACTTGGAATCCTTATGAATTAATAGGAGGTGCCAGAGAACCCATTTCTAATTTGAATGGGATATTTAGGTTACAAGCTGTCTTTGAAATAATAACCAAGCAGACAGCTATGGCTCTTGACCTTCTTGACGACCAATCCACTCAAATGAGGAATGCAATATTTCAGCATTGGATGGTATAAGATTATCTATTAGCAGAAGGAGGAGGAGTTTGTTGAAAATTCAATTATTCAAACTGCTGTTTGCAAAGAGATGGCAACGGAAAAGTGGTCAAACAAATAACAAAAGAAATCAAGTTAGCTCGTATACCAGTCCAAAGGTGGAAAGGATGGGAATGGGACACGTTGTCAGGGATACCTGGCAATCTGTGGGTTCAACAAATACTATTTCTCCTCTTCTGTGCTATAGCAACTCTAATATTTTTACCATGCATGACACCTTGCTGAGTGCAACTCTTTCAGCAGGTGATCAAGAGGATGCAGGTAGAAGCCACGCCTACTGATGCAGAAATGACTACAAAAGGATCTAAAATTATGCCACTTCAAAGAATTGCAAAACCAAAGAAGACTCAGGAAGAAAAACTTAAATCAATGGTAGTTAATATCTGTAAAGACAATTATGGAGAAAATAAAAAGTGGTGGGATTAAAAGGAGTAAGATAAGAGATGTCAGCAAATTAACAGTGGTTTGAAGGCCCTTGTATTTCTGGGAGGGTGAAACCTCTGTTAAACCCTCTGGGATCATCACTTGGGCTTCCTGTGTTTCTCAAGCTCTCCAAGTAAAATTGACCCACCAAACTCATATTTGTCTCAATCCCTGCATCATCCTTCAGGTGTATTTTCTCACAATGAATTTGGAGTAGAAAATGCTTTAGGAAATGTTCTGCAGCCCCTTCTTGCCCAAAGGCCCATCTGCTTTAATTAGGAATGTTCTTCAAGCACAAGGTTTGGATGCAGTCAGTGAGACTCACATTTCAGAAGGACCATCAATGGTCTGATAAAAACATAGAACTTTCAAGCAGGCTACTGGGACTTAGGAAGATATTTGAAATCTGTCAACATACAGTTCTAGTAGTGGAAAATGAAATGCTGTTAGACAAGCCTGCTTCCAAAATCGGCTTTGCCTGGATCCACCTGCCCTGCAGCACAGCCTTCTCCCTTTCTCCTTACTGCCCTCTGTTCAGGATCAACCCAAACCTGGGGTATTTCAATTCCTTTAAGACACAGTGCAGCTCATGGGCAGCAAATGCAGTCTTCCCAAAGTGGCTGCCGATGACACGGTTTGCAGGGAAGACTTCAGGGAGGAGATGGCACTTTCCTCAGAGGGTTTTCATGCCCTTTCTTTGCCACACAGACGATGGCATGCATGGCATGGCTCCATTTCGGCAGTCAGTCCCGAGGCAGGGTTGTGGTGAGGACAGGTTGAGTGTAACGACGTGTATTTGTATTCCACGGACAGATTCAAGCGAGATCTCTTTGGTGCTCTTGGGGGAAGAGGTTTATTCAGGATACATTGAGGCTCTGCCTCGAGCTGCCAGACACAGCACGTGGCTGGGCCTCGGGTGATGGGGGAGGGGAGAGACAACAAGGGAGCAGGGACTCCCGGAGGACTCTCCAGGAGGGGAAGGGAAGATCCAAGAGGGCGTCCAGCCCCCTGGAGACCCCTTATCAAGGGGGGCTCCAGGGTGGGCTGGAACAGGACCTGGGCCAATGGGGTCACAGGCACCTGATGGTTCAGGGGAGGGTTACAAATGTGGGGTGAACCATACATTCTGGGGGGTGACATGGGAGAATCCATTCGGCTTTTGGACCCCGTTGTAGGTGAGGGTAATTGTCCAGCCAGTAGGGGGCGTTATATTCGTCCTGGCTGTACCATTGTGGTTCTTAATCATATTTACCTACCCTCCCCAACATCTCCCCCTTTTTTACTGAACCATTTGAAATATTAGATATTGATTTAACAACTATTTTCTGCACACTTGGAGGTGTACAGGGTATTGTTACTAGAACTATACTTATTGCTACTGAAACAGTTAAGCTTATTTTACAGAGTTCCTTTAGCCACGGTGCAAGTCTCGAACCATTAAGTCAACTGTGTAGCTGAGATGGCTTTATTGTTATTAAATCACTGATTATAGTAGGGGAGGCATTGTCAGAATTTTTTTTGGAAAAGGTCTTATAATTAAACGGGTTGAAAAAGGTTTGTTAGGGTTCGTGTTAGATATATAGGTGGTCTTAGAGCTTGCAGGCTTGGCTAAAGCTACTCGGCATTTGTTCTTGGTTGAATTATAAGTAAAACTTCAATATAAAAACTGAAACAGAAGAACAAAAACAATATGCACGCATTAAACAATAGAAAGTCCATTTTTCTTTTGATGACGCAGCGTGGTTCAGGTCTGGGTGCTGGCTTCTTGGCTTGTGCTTGTAGAGGAACTGTCTGGTGTGGGGGTGTCAGCAGATTTCGGTGCGTGGTAAGGCTTTACATTCTTTCTTGGGACCAACTTGAGTCGTCCACCTGTGGAAACACAAGAAAAACCTTTCCCCCACGTTAGAAGACTGTGTGGACTTTGTATATGTCTTGAATTTAAGATTTTGGGTAAAGCTGGGGGGTACCCTTTTATTTTTACTTTTTTGGTGTTCAGGAAATGTCTATAAATTTGGAGGCGAGGCTCTCTTGCAGAGCTACTTAGAAAATTGTGAGCATATAGAGCCTTATTCAACCTCTTTTGAGGTGTAGCCTGATCTACTCCCCCTTCCTTTAGAAGTAAGATTCGTTTTAGGGTTTGGCGTGTATTTTCTATGGTAGTTTTTAACTGTGGTGTAAGATAGGAAAAGGAGATAGCACTGTCATTGAGTACTGGTAGGACTTCTTTCACCTCCTGAGAGGGGACAGCTGTTCGCTGGCTGTGTAGCACTTGCAAGGCTTGGGGGTGCAGACTGTTGTCTTTGCAGCTATTATATTTGATTTCAGGGTAGTTTTTCAGTTGAAGATTGCTGGCACTTTGTTGAGAATTTGGTGAGACTGGGATAGAAAGGTTAGAGTTTGCAGGGGTAACATAGTTCTCTGTCTGTCGTTTGTTTGTAGAAGCTGCAGTTACATTGTTGCGTTCACGTTGCTGAGGCATAGTGTCGTCGTTAGGGTGTGGTGAGGAGCTGTTAGTGTGGGAGGCAGGGGCTGCTGCCAGCTGAGGCAGAGGAGCAGGGGGGGTGGAGGTTGTGGTCAGCAGCACCTGTGGGGAACTGGGATTTGTGGAAGGATATGCTGTCGCTATGGCATTGGTTGCTGTGGCAGTCTGAAGAGCCGGCGAAGGGAGAGATGTGGAGGGATATGATGATGGGTTTGGGAAACCCGGAAGTGGTGCCGGCGTTGGGGGGTTCCGGGGTTCTGCAGCCAGAGGCAGGGGCTGCGGCGCCGCGGGGGGATGGGGGGGTGGGGGCGCCGGGTTTGCGTATGCCGGGGGGTCCGGCCGCGAGTGCAGGAGGCGGGCGGGCAGCGGGGGTGCTGCGCCGGGAGCCGGGGCGTCCCTGGGAAGGACGGGCGGTGCCGCGGCTGCAGGGGCGGGGTCCGGGGCGCTCGAGGGAGAGGAGGTGGAGGCAGGGGCGGGGTCAGGCCCGCGCGAGAGGGGGGCGGCGGCCGCGGCCCCGGGGGCGGGGTCCGGACTGCGGGGGAGGGGGCCGGCGGCCGCGGGGGCGGGGTCTGGACCGCGGGGGAGGGGGGCGGCAGCCGCGGGGGCGGGGTCTGGACCGAGGGGGAGGGGGGCGGCAGCCCCGGGGGCGGGGTCAGGGCTGCGCGGGGGGGAGGCGGCGGCCCCGGGAGTGGGAGCCGCCCAGCCCAGGGCCGGCGCATGGCCGGCGCGTTCGCCGGACCAGGGGACTTCCGGGTGGGTCGGGAGGGTGGCCGCGGAGGCGAGCGTATGCAGCTTTTGCAAAATCGCAGCTGACGCTTGAAATTGTGCTTGTAAAATAGCCATTGACTGGGTTTGTGCTTGTAAAATGGCTGTTGTTTGATTTTGTAAAAGTTCGGCTATAGTAGCCACCATCGCCGGGACAGGCAGTGCTGGGGGGCCGGGCGGGGGGGAGGCGGGGCCCGCAGAGTGGTTTGGGGGGGAGGAGGTGGCCGCAAGGGCGGGTTCTGGGTTGCGGGGGATGGGGGGGGCGGCCGCGGCGAGGAGCGCCGGTCGCTCAGAAACCGGCGAGTCGCCAGCAGCTTCGCCGGCATTCTCGCCGCAGCGCGGGGTGGGGGGGCAGTCCGGCGGGGATAGTTGAGCCACGGCAGGGAGCGATTTGGCTGCTATTAGCGGCTTTTGAGAAGCGCAGAGTTCTGCTAACACTTTATAAGCAGGAAATAAGTCGCAAGCATAGGGGTCCCGCCGTGAAATGTCGTTAAATAGTGTATGTCCCACGGACTCCCAAAAGTCTCCACAAAACACAGCAGAGCGCTCGGCATATGGGAACTTAAGTAAGATCCATTCTAGGAGTTTTCGTAGCTCTTTTTTAGGCAAATTACTATTATGGCTACGTAATAAGTGGTTAAGTTGCTTATAGAGATCTCTATCAGCTGCAGAGTGGGACTGTCCCATTTTTAAACCAGTGTGGCTCACCTCGGTGTCGCAGGAGCGGGATCCTCTGTCAGGGTCCGACGTTTACTGCAGTCGGTGCTGAGGGCTCACCGCGGGGCTTCTCCAGAGCTTCAGCGCGGGCAGTGCTAAGCAGTGCTCGCCTGTGCTTTGTGTATGTGGCCACGTGGCGTGGCAAGTCTCGTCACAAAGCCTTGGGTCGCCGCGGAATCGCGGCGATCTCTTTTGCTCGGAGAATAATGGCCAGAAGTCGTATAAGGGCTCTAAGAGCTCGCTACTATGTAACGAGTTGCTGAGTTGTAGGACGGCTTCGGGACTTTTTAAAGAGCTCCGGTTCGTTACTGCCTAGCAGCAGAATGCCGTGCTCGCGACCACGATGGCGAGGAAATACCTGGTTATTTAGTTAGTGTCCATGGAAAGGTGTCCTACAGGTAGAAAAGCTGGAAAGCATCCAGACGGGTGCAGTTGCAGGTCACCGTGGGTTCGTATTCGAGGTGGGCGCCAGTCTGTAACGACGTGTATTTGTATTCCACGGACAGATTCAAGCGAGATCTCTTTGGTGCTCTTGGGGGAAGAGGTTTATTCAGGATACATTGAGGCTCTGCCTCGAGCTGCCAGACACAGCACGTGGCTGGGCCTCGGGTGATGGGGGAGGGGAGAGACAACAAGGGAGCAGGGACTCCCGGAGGACTCTCCAGGAGGGGAAGGGAAGATCCAAGAGGGCGTCCAGCCCCCTGGAGACCCCTTATCAAGGGGGGCTCCAGGGTGGGCTGGAACAGGACCTGGGCCAATGGGGTCACAGGCACCTGATGGTTCAGGGGAGGGTTACAAATGTGGGGTGAACCATACATTCTGGGGGGTGACATGGGAGAATCCATTCGGCTTTTGGACCCCGTTGTAGGTGAGGGTAATTGTCCAGCCAGTAGGGGGCGTTATATTCGTCCTGGCTGTACCATTGTGGTTCTTAATCATATTTACCTACCCTCCCCAACAGTTGAGTGTCATGGTTTGACACTGGCACAATGCCAGTGCCCCCATGAAAATGCAGTCTCTCAATTGAATGCTGTGAAATGAGATCGAGAACAGAGCAAAGCAGGCCCAAGCTTAATAACAAGAAAAAAACTTAATTAAGCTACTACTACTATACTACTATAAAAGGAAAAGGAAGGAAAAAAAAACCCCACACAAAATTCTAAATGAAAACCTTCCAAAGCATTCCTCCTCCCACCACCCAACTTCAACAAACCACAGTGAGACACAACCTGGACCCCAATCAGGTTTCCACCCTCCAGACAATTGCTACTCAGTCCATCGAGGGAAAGAGGAGCCCTTCCTGTGCCACAGACCCCCCAAGAAACACAGCTGCCACATCCTGTGCTTCCATGTCACACATGGCACCGCCCGGAGAAAAAAGTTTGCCAATGGTGACCCTCTCCTTTCCATGCACAGTTCTCTCACCACCAATGCATGGATGGACAGACTGCTTTTAGGATTTTTCCTTTCAAGGATGCCCTGCCAAGAGGGGAAAAACACAACAGTTCAGTTTTTCATTTTTGGGACCACAGTCCCCCCCATTTTCCCCTGGGGCCGAGGATCCAAGAACATAGATCTTCTTCTCTTCTTCTTCTCTTCTTCTTCTCTTCTTCTTCTCTTCTTCTTCTCTTCTTCTTCTCTTCTTCTTCTCTTCTTCTTCTCTTCTTCCTCTCTGAAGACAGGGGGCACCACCACAAACCTCCCTAACTTTTTCTCTGTTCGCTCCACTTCTGTCTTTTCCCAGCTGAAGCATGGTCTCTTTGGCTCACCGGCATCCTCCTAAAATACAGTCTCTCCTGGAGGAGAAGATCAGTTCAGTCTGTGGCTACCAAGAAAAAGTCCAGCAAAAAGCCACTCCATCATCTCCTCCCACCTAGAATTTCTCCTTCTAACATCCCAGGGTCCAAGATGTCTCTCTTCCTCTCTTTCAAACCGAGGAGGAAAATAATTTCACAAAGCTTTCATTTCTCAGGAAGGGTTAAAAGTCCCAACTCCCAAGGATGGCTCGCTGCCCAGGCTCCAGCTCCCACGGCCAGCTGGGCACCTTGTTTCACCCCCCCCCCCCCCTCAGTGAACTACTGACAAACCGACACTGTCTCTTGAGAGAGAGAGAGAGAGAGAGAGAGAGAGAGAGACTCTGGGGGAGAATGGAGACATCCCATATTTCTCCACCCTTCCATCTGCAGGGGGCCAGCCCGGTTCCAGTCCCCCCACCTTTGGGCCTACCTCAGTCAGGCCACGGGCCTTCCCCTCCCCTACCCAGCCGCCTGGTCAGGCAGGGGAGAGTCTGCCCTGCACCCTGACCAGAACCAAAGAGAGAAAGTTTTCCTGGGAATTCTGCTTTTAACCCCTCTGTGTTCTCAGAGGCATGTCCACCTTCAATTGGTCAATATCCAAATTGACCTCTTCCTTCCGAGAAAATTCTTTTTCCGTGTCAAACCATGACAGTGAGCTCTCTCGTCCTTGGTCTGACACCTGGGCCGGCAGCGATGGCACGGTGACCTCGGTGAGCTGATGCTGCCCGTGCCATCACCAGCTTGAGTTGGTCTGGGCAGCACCATGGGAAGATCTTGCTCTGCTCGTGGGCTCAGTGATGACCCTGAGACTGGTTCAGCTGATTGGAACATGGTGCTAAGGATACCAGGGTTGTGGCTTTGATCCTGTGTGAGCCATTTGATGATCCCTGAGAGTCCATTCCAACTTAGGATATTCTGTGATTCTGTGATGGGATACTTCGTACACAGCAGGAAGCTTTGGCTAAGAAGTCAGTGCTACCAATGCCTGGGGGTACAGGTTCCTTGCTGACAGATACCCAAGGTAAGCCTCTCTCTCTAACAGGATTAGCACACAGGCATTTGTTTCCCTGGCCCAATTCAAAACCCCAGTGATGGGGGGGTTAACAGCTGTCAGAGTGCTTCAGTCACCATCAAAGAGCCACCACCCTTCAGGTCTCACTTTGTACCACCTCCCATTTATGGTTCAATGCAAAACATCACAAATAAAAATCTCCTTGCTTCCCTCCAGTCAGTTGTCCTGCAGGAGACAGGAGGAACCCTCTGAGCTCAAGAAGTTTTGGGGAAGATTTGTACACTAACAAAGTCCCTCCCTTTCTATTTCTGAAATTGGAGCTATCAAAATCACACCAAATGTTGACTTTTGTTTGTCTTTTCTTCAGTTTGAATAATTTCTAACATTAATGAGATCTTAAAATTGGTATGGTTGGAGAAGTCAATGGATATGTCCCACCAGTAGACCATTCCCAGGAATTGCTGGTGAGCACTTCTCAGCCAATTGCCAGTCCACCAACCACCCATGGATCCTGTGATGGGGGTTTCAGGTATTTGGGGTTTTATTATGTATCCATTTCCAAAGGCTTTTCCCAAGACTTGCTCCTTCTGGTGGGCACTGTCTCCTGCCTTTCCTGTTTATAACTAAATGACACAACACTCGTGAATGTAATTAATGCCGAGAGTTCAATGCTTCCAGCAAGCGTGGTTAACACTGGGCAAAAGGATGCTGGAGTCTTTAAGGAGAATCTGATAAAAAAGAAAGGCAGAACAACCTTCAATAAAGAGCAAATTGTTTTCTTTCAGGGAGTAAGACTAAACAATGTATTTTTTTTTTCTGTGCTAATGATGACAAAGTCCATCCTTCACTGCCCTGAATGCTGGGACTTAGGGAAAGAGCCAGTGAAGGTGTTTTGTTTTGTTTCTTTTAATGCAAAGAATATGGGTAGACAAAAAGGATTTTCTAAACTTGACTCCTGGTGTAGGTACACAGATATATAACAAAATGAGTGGCAGATTTGCCCAGCACATTTCAAGCAGCAATATGGATATTTTCCCTGCTAATTGAATAATTTAGCTAGTCTGCCCTCAAAGTTACAGGACTTGTGATAAAATTACTACTGTGATAATCAGCTATGTGATCCTTTTCCAGCTCTGCGGAACAGTTCTCTTGCCCTCTTTCTGCCTCTTCTTTCCCATCTACAGAGGTGATAATTTCCTTTTTGTTTTGTCTTTTTCCTCTGAAAACAGGAGACTAACCTCAAGAAAATTGCACTTTGTTTTTGATGGAAGATAGTGCATCAGACAAACTATTTGTGGGTAGTAATAAGGGAAACTTTGAGACATATGTTCTGTTTGCCTTTTCATCCAAAGGATAATGAATCCTCAGGTTCTTTTTTTCAAGTTTATAAACAAGGTTTGGAAGTGCATTGAGCATGACAGGTGTCATTCTAATGTTGTTCTGCAGTGCCAAGACCATGCTGGTAAATTAAAGCCCCTTTTATCAGTCCAGGGGAGGGATCTGCCACTGAGTTATCTCCCATCCTCTTTGTGGGACACATTACAGGGAGAAAAAGGCAGCCTGCCAGGAAGGGATGGCTCTTGCACTTTAAAATCGTGAGTGACCTGACACCAGGGTTTCTTTTTTCCCATTTGCTTTGAATTTCACTGTAGCTTCTTGACCTCATTAGAAGACTGAAGGCCTGTCTTGGGACTGAGGTTGGAGGAAAATTGAACCAGACCTAAGGAATATTAAATTCAAACAAATGGATAACAAAAAAGCCCTGTCTTGGTTTGAGAAGACAGGAGTTTGTGAAGGAAGGCAAAAGCCTCCTGTGAAATGGAAAAGGTAAACCCCCTCCCTCCGAATTACCACAATTTCAAAATTAAAAGGCTCTCAGGCAAAGATATGGGAATGGGAATAACAGTTCTTTACTAGGAAAAAAAAACTAAATACAAATAATAATAAAAAAATTTAATTAGTACAAACAAAACTAGTGATAGAGTCAGAAACCTGACACCCTGAGGAGTCAGGGTGTTGGTAGTAGTTCAGTTAAATGGTGGCTGTTCCTCCTGGAGTGGCAGATGAAATGCTGCTGAAGCGGTGATGTATAGAAGGGTGTAGTTTTCTCTGAAGGTCTGGTAGTAGTTGGGCCTGGTCTTCCTCTGGGAATCCAACAGAGAAGAAAGCTGCTTCTCTGGGAATCCAGCGAAGGGCTGCCCTGGTGTTCCAAAAAGTGCTGATTTTATGCATGTAGGAATGCTTGGCTCCTCCCTCTGGGTGGAGCATCTCACAATGGGATGATGTAACTTTACCAGTCATGCAGTGAATCATTCAATGAT